ACCAAACGTTATTTACAAAGTAGTTAATAAACATGTGTCAGATGTGTCAATGTGTCAGAACACAGAATATAAATAAGTCATAAGCCTTTTTTCAATGATTGTTACCTGGGGCCGTCAATACTCACCCTGATCGCGGCCTGACCAAAGGTGCCAAGGGGGCATCGGAGTCAGCTTGGACCACAGCTAATTGGGTGAGTGCTAGAAGAGCTGGAAGGAAGCTCAGCCGAGTGAAAAGTCACTACTCCATTTTAGAGTAGTTTGCTAACTTACGACATCGTTACAAGATGAGCAAATTTCTATAATAGTCCATTGTTTCAGGACAATTTGACATTTGACCTGTGCACTTAGCATAAATCAATCAAGAGTCTGAAGCAATAAAAAGTCGTAAGTTGTGTTACTCATTTTGCCATTCTAAGTACATAGCTTAGACTTTAGGGTATATGTTCTCTAGTTTATTTTTAGGCCGCCTTAAACAATGAATTATTATGTTTTTTTTTATAGATGTTCTTTACAATATGGTCATTACAATGTGCTAGGTCGGAGACTTAGATTTGGTAGGGTCGAATTACAATAAAAAAAACGCTATTTATTTCTGACAGGTAATAGTAGCAAAGTATGATTAATAATTATCAACGGGTCGTTTCTACACAATTTATAATTTTCCTAAAACGTTGGACTTCGTCTGGAAATTAGGATTTTGAATGGGCAGTGGGTATATCGAAATTCCGTCCGGGTCGCGAACCAGCGTCCACAGATGAAAAAACCTTGAAGTTTATCTGCATTTCGGTTTCAGTCCGTTTATTTCCGAGTACCCAATTCCTAAATAGGGCAAAAACTTCTACTACGTGAATCCCATGCTTGACTGTCCCTCTCTGTCTACACTAGTTATAATATAAAGTTGAAGAGTTTGTTTTTTGAACGCGCTATTCGCTAGGACGACTGGTTCGAATTTTAAAAAATATTTTTGTGTTGGTTGGTGAGCATTTATCGAGGAAGGCTTTAAAACATCGCGCTGTGAAAAAGGAGAGAATTATTCACATTTGTGTGTTTTCAACGCGTACGCTGCGAAAACGGTACAAGATACCCAAACAATATGTATGAGAGAATGATTTCTCATTAAACGATCTAAAAAAATGTCCAGGACAGTATATCTCTATTTTGTAAGGTTAACTTGCAAAAACGACGGGACGCGGACGACGTCGTTTGTAACAGCTATAACAATTTCTAAAGATGAGAGGGTTTGCCAAAACAAATTTTGTTCCCCAAAATAACTATTCTACGCGGACGAAGTAAGTATTATAATAAATATATTAAAATTGAAGTGTTTTGTGTAATTAGCAATCTCCGATCACGGTTATGCTAACACTGGTGTGACTACATTCTATAGAAAGGAACCATGATGGATTGATTTGACATAGGTCGATTACATATACAATTTACAATCACGAAGCGTTCACTTAAGGAAGTTGTAAATGATATCTATACTAATATTATAAAGCTCAAGGGTATGAATTGACGATTGGTCGCGGACATTTTTCACTTCAACGGTTTAAAACGCGATATATATTAGTTAAACTTATTAGAAAATTATTTTAATTACAGCCTGACGTTTCGGATGCTTTGCGAATAATTGTCAAATAAGTTAAACTAATATAGATCGCGTTTTAAACCGTTAAAGTGTTTTATTTAAATGTGTACTATTCGCGTAAACTACAGACAGTATTTAATTCTTACATACATATTTTTTGGTTTGTTGAACCGTTTTCTTGACGCACGCCGTGGACGGCACTAAGATAAAAATTTTCCCTATATCTTGCATTGTTGCTTCGTTTGTATTAGTCGCAGCGTCTAAGCACAGAGCCCTTCTCGATAAAAGGTCGTTTCAGACACAAAAATAATTTTGCAATTCGAACCAGTACCTAATGATATTAGCACGTATAAACAAACAGATAAACACTTCATCTTTATAATATTAGTATAGATGAATATCTCAAAATAATATGAACGTAAGTAAGTGGCGTGCTTAATCTTTCTATTGCTCTACAAGGACGTTAAATTAAGTATTACAAATATTGATAGGTTTTGCAATATCAAAGATAGCATCTTATAAATAACTGTTCTCGATATTATTAAAGAAACAGGTATACCTTTCGTAACAGTTACATATTGTGGTACTTTTTTAAGATGACAAAGCAAATGTGATGATTGTAGTTACGTTAGAGAAAGCTCATGCCTCCGTTACAGACATTTTTATTTACTATGGACTTTACTACTGTCAATATCTTACGCAAGTCGTACATATAAATAGAACACTTTTAACGGTTAAAAACGCTATATTTCCGGTCAATTAGTCCCCTGAGTCAGGACTTATTTAAAAACTCTTTTTAGTAAAATATAAATATTCTAAAAGAAATATTTAGCAGGGTTAAGACTCGGAGCTCGCCAATTGGAAGAGCAAAAACAAAGGAACGCTGACGATAACGGTTCAAGAACATCCTCAAAGCCCTCGTCGAAATTTCTTTCAATTTATATTCGATTTGTAAATTGACTTTGATATTTTCATATGTTTATGAATAAAAAGTCGATTTTATTGAAAAAAAAACTAAACGAACGGGACTTCAACCACGTTCCACTTCACAGCATAGAGCTGTAGCACAGAATGCTTTGTGGCCTGTTCGAATCCCGTTCGTGTCGTTTTTTTTATCTAAGTATTTTTTTAATAAGATGATTTTTTATTGACATCGACCGACATATTACACGATTTGTCATTTAAAGTTATCACTACAACATAAAAAAATTCAATGAAAGTTTGTTACACGCGTTTTAAACAATCCCCGGCGATATTAAATTTCGCAAATAAAATACCACTTGGCGCTTGTCGTCAGCGGTAAAAGGTTAAAATTTTTGGCATAAACGCCCGAATTGTTCTGCCAATTATCCGCCATGTTTATTTTATTCGGTCGCAAATTACACATCGTTTCGTTAAAAGATACCTTTCGCTGTAACTTGATTTATTTTATGATGCATCAAGACTTTTTCGGCTCGTCTTGTGCTTACAGGTATATTGTAAGTGTTGATATGGATCTCACTTTTATTTTGGTCTTCGTCAATGTCACATCTTTTGTAAATAAATTTTATTCGCGTAAAATGATAATATAAATGACCCGAAAAAAGGATAACTGTTCTTTATAAATAATAATTAATTAATCTTCATTGGTGTCGCAAGAAAAATTATGATAGCGGAGGATAGACAAGAATGCAGTTAATTTGGTGTTAGACGAAATACCCCAGCCATATAACATCTAAATAAGATGTGTTGTCGGGCTATTCTTGCTTTGGAGATGCGGGAAAAGAACATACCGAAACGCGATTAAACTTGACGGTTTTTTCATCTGTGATGATATTTTTTATCTGTGCATTAATTATAAAAACTTTTTTTTATTTAAGTTTTTAGTCCCAATTCAATCTTGGCTCTATCACGTGAGATCCATTAGAACTGAATTGACCTATCTTATTTTAAATTATTCTAATACTTTAAATAAAGATATTAATTACAAGATAAAGTATAGTTGGAAATCCTGTTCTATTGTTTTATACACTGTTAGTTTTTCAAATCAAATATTAGTAGGTATTTGGTTTGTTGAACTACCGTCTGTACTTTACACATTTACACTAAACGCGAAATATCGTTAAACGGAGACGTTGTCCACGACTGCTGCAAAGCGTCATAAACGTGGAGCCGTAATTTGCGTTTAAAACCTTTAAAGTGTTTTTTTAATAAATCGCATACTAAACATTGTCTATATTCGCGAGTAGTATACATTTAAATAAAACACTTTAACGGTTTAAAACCTGATATATTAGTTACACTTATTTGAAAATGAGTCTCCCCGTGAGCACGGCTGCAGCAAAGCATCCGAAACGTCGGGCAATTATCGGAAAAATTTTTCAAATAAGTTTAACTAATATATCGTTTTATAACCGTTAAAGTGTTTTATTTAAATCGCATACTTTAATTTAAACTATACTATACGTATTATACTTTAGCATTTTAAGTTAAAATGAAGGACTAAAAACCACTTAAAGTTACGTAACGCTGGTAAACATTTGTCATAAAAACAGAACCTGTCATACAGTTTACTTAAGAATCCTCAATTATTAACACCACTTTACGCAATCGTCCAAAACAAGGCGATACACTTTCGAAAGCTCGATACAGAACTTCGCAGGGTCATAACCACGTGGTTATGTAACCCATTTTGGTTGCCAGAGAAAGTGCAATTTTCAACCCGCCTATATTTATGACGTAAGTGCTCCTAACGGGTTTCTAATATCCCGTACTGAGATCCTTACTTGTAATGCGTGTGCGCATGAACGCATCCGTGACCCAATGATAGCTGTGGGTTTTAACGGACTTAGGTTCGATTATTGGCGATGCTTTATCGTGTTCAAAGTATTAAGCTTGGTAGTTAGATGAACCTAAGTGATCTATTTTCTTTTTTTTCTGGTAAAATTGTACTTTTTGGTAACTCAAATTTTGATGAAGTTCTAATAAGCGCGAAACCTTTTTTTAAATCATATTTTACGTACTTATATACATTTTAAATATATGAATTCTCTAAATATTATTCCTTCAAGCGTAAATCTTTTAGCTATGAACTCCAATTATTGTGTAACATGCTCTAAATCACACACACCTAAAAGTCTTACGCATTCGTCTCGAGCGAAAGGTTACGCAAAAATATAAATGAACCAGTTATTTTTGGGCTGCTAATTGAATTAACAATTACTCAACTCTCAAGGATGCCCGCAGTGTGTGAAAGTAAAACTGTATTCAAAGACAATGACGTAACACCTTTCATCCGATATCTTAATTCGATCATTATTGACATAAGGCCCCATATACAGCGAGTGACGCAAGAAACAGCGAATACAAAAATAAAGATAGTATTTATTTACAGAAACTTAAATAATACAGTTCGATCACATGACTATTCGTTTTAGTGTGGCACGCCGTAGGATGAGGATGGGGAAGGTACTCCGTAAGAGCCTGAGGGGATGTTGATGGTGGAGTAACCGTGGCCGCTGCTGCCGGAGTATCCGTGCCCGCTGGGGTATCCGCTTGAGTAACCACCTGAGTAGCCACCGGAGTAGCCACCAGAGTAACCACCATAACCGCCAGAGTAGTCCTCAACGGCTTGGTGGTATTGCGCCACCTGGATACCTTGTTGGAGCGACTCTAGTTCAACACCAACTATCCTATCATGGGGTACACCGTATACTGGGGCGGGTGGGCCGTAGTGTGATGACACGCCATGGGCAGCAGCCGAGGATTGGTAAGCTTGGTTGTGGATCTCGTCCTTGAGGATAATGTGGCGGATCTTCTCCAATAGATGTGGGTCGATGTGGTAGCCTTCTGAGGTCTGGTGGCCGACTGGAACGGAGGTGTAGTGACCGCCACCGCTGAGGACTGACCCAGAACTGCCGTGGCCATGGGATGGAGCAGAGTAGCTGTAGCCCACTGGGGGTTCGGCGGCGGCACAGCCGATCAAAGCCAAAGCGACCTGGAATCAAATGACTTTGTTAGACGAGAAGAAAAAAATTCAACACTAGAATTATTTTGGACGAAAAAATTTATAGAAATACCGAAACTTCGGGTTAAAATAAATTGTAAATACGTTAACTGCTATATTTCGCGTTTAAAACCGTTAAAAGTGTTTTGTTTAAACCTCGAGTGTCTCAAATCAAAATCAAGGTCGTAAAGAGGTCACTCTTAAGTTACAGCTGATTACTGTGGTCCTTTATTGATATTGCAAATCTGTATACTCTAAATATTTTAACAGCTCTATTTTTCACAGGATATATAATTTTTAATATCGCCATTTGACGCGCGACACGAAAGCGCCTAATACAATCCTTTGCTCGATAAGATTTTGCACAGACACTGAACACTATCACTAGGAGGTCACACTGCAATCCACTTACGATTGTCCACTGCATGGTGCGTCCTGTTGTGATGCACGGAGGTGTATGATGCCTCCAAGAATCGCCACTCGCTTATATACCAAGTAATCTGCCTTAACTTTTACTCGATATCCGTACAGAGCAGCTGTGTATAGGAATGAACTATGTGCTACAAAATTCTCAGATGTCGACCGACCACCCAAGCTGATGTAAAAAAAAATATTCAAAATTCACGAAGATGTTACTTATAACTAAAGTTCGCATCTAATATCAAAACAATTATGTATACAAACACGTTTTATCCCTTCATATAATAAACTTGTATCTTGTCAATTTTATATTTCAATAAAATAATAGAAAAAGCATCACACAAATTGTGAAATTACTATAAGAATATAATACATATTAAGTAGATATTTAAAATAAATGTATACAAACTCTTAACATTTTTACTCACTTCGACATTGGCATAAATATGATCAATAACACAGTACAATGTATTGTTTAAATTATTATAACAATAAAATATATATAATAATTTTATAATTATGTTAATACATATATATATAAAATATATGTGATATCCCGTTTCCCCTCGTGGGGCGAACACATTTCAGGTTTTATTTACAGCCAACTAGTTGATCAGACTTCTGTGCCCTGCCCGACCGAAACAATTGACTGTTTCCCCGGGATTCGAACCCAGACCTCTCATGCTGAACGCAATGCTACGCAACACGTTTAACCATTTAGCTACAGAGGCGGTCTAAATAGAAATATATAATATATGCACCATCATAAAATAAATAATCTCTAAGTAAGATATATATAGGTATATAGCAATATATATGTTTGTAGTCAATCTTCTGAAATCAAGAAACTGCCACATATAGTAGCAGTAGAAAGAGGTTTTGAGTAACACAATTTCGCATGATATAATTTAACATATAATGTATTAAAACAAAACTGGTAGTAGATCATACGATACAGATTAAGCAAGTCACAGCGCTTGCGTCTTGCTCTAGTTATTAACCGACTGTGTAAGATATATTTGACCAGTTTTATTAGTGTAGTGTTGACAAAAAGTTATTTTGACATAGACATTAGGTTTTATCAAAGTCTGTTTAAAAACTTATTATTTTTTACATGTTATTGCACATGAAGTATAATATAATTTAAAACAATTTGCATGTTTCAATAAGTTGAAAAAACTCGACGATGGGGTGTAGGACTCGGTAGCTCAATTAGTAGAGCAACAGCACGTAACGCTGATGATGCCAGTTCAAGTCCTGCCCGAGTCGAAAATGTTTTCAATTTGTTTTCGATTTTTAAATTTTATAGTTTTCATGTGCATGTGAAAAATTTTCAATCTGTTTAGTTGTTTTGCTTGAGAAATCATTGATTCATATACCCTAATGTAAAATTAATGATGTAACACATATAATTAATTAAAAATAATTAATCGATTAACAACTTTTTTTTAAGTTCTAATTTGTATATATTTGTATTTTTGTATATTTATTTATACATTATATCAATCGATTTAATTCAATTTGACATACATATCAGTTTCACATAAAATTCTTAGTCTGTGTACCTACGCATACACGTGATTACAATACATTTTAAAAACAGTTTACAAATTAAAAATTGAAAAATATCATTAAACAAATCATGCCTACGAGTCACTTTAGTAACTACTCAAAAGTGCTTCTTATTTCCTTCGCAGTCGGGTGAAGAAACTTTACCTCAATATAAAGTTTTCCCATGATATTGAACCAAATATCTAACTCTGAAATAGCCTTGCTTCTAGAACTAGAGGAAGTTTCATTACTCAATATTAAACATATTGATTGATGTATTTTAATTATAGGTTCTGGTGTGTTAATTATTGCCATGACATAATAAAAACTAAAATACATTAGTTCTGAATCTTTAGTAAAGTAGTAGTACACTTAGTGAGCCTTAATAAATATTTATCATACGAATTTCCATGTCATGTAATTTATTTACAAATTTCTTAAAATACTGTCTATAGTTTACGCGAGTAGTACACATTTAAATAAAACACTTTAACGGTTTAAAACGCGATATATTAGTTAAACTTATTTGAATATGATTTTTAACTTCGGCCCGACGTTTCGGCTGCTTTGCAGCAGACCACTCACAAAAATCACACAAAAATCACACAAAAATCACAAAAATTTTCAAATAAGTTTAACTAATATATCGCGTTTTAAACCGTTAAAGTGTTTAATTTAAATACAAATTCCTTACGAAGAAATATTAATGTATGGCAAATTGTCAACGGGTCGCGGGCTCGATCACCAACGGGTCAATTTATAATTTTTCTGAAACATGTTGGACTTCGTCTGGACATCTGAAGATTAAGTGGGTGGTAGGGCTAGCGAAATTCCGTCTGTGTCACGAACCACTAGTCAGTCTGTGGTATTATCCAAGACTAAATTAGGCCGACAGCGCACTTTGGTAAGATGTTATGTCTGTCCTCCTTTATCATGAAAAGCAGAATTGGGATTCTGGTATTTACTATTTTACACCGTCTGCGATCATAATTATAATGAATGCGCGATAATCACCTTGCATAAATATGTGTAAGAGTTGTCTAATTTGCATAGAAACACAGTAATTACGAGATTGTATTAGTGTTCGTAATGTTCATGTTTAAGACGTGAAAAATTGTCTTCTTTAATAGAAGTGCTGTTGGTAGAAGCAATAATCGCTTAGCGTTATGTCAAATAAAACACTTTAACGGTTTAAAACGCGATATATATCTGACCGACAGTTTAAAGTTAAGTCCTTTAAAGTTATTTGCTTGTGATAAACTTTTACACATTATTTATCCGTGAAACGTTCCTAAGAATGCACCTTTATATTATATACTTTATTCTTACTATAACATTGTATTCGATTGGTGTTTCTGTTATGTTTCTTTTTTAAATAAACAAAAAATACATCGACTGTCTCCCCGTGACCACGGCTGCTGCAAAGCATCCGAAACGTCGGGCCGTAGTTAAAATAATGTTGTTTAAATTTTTTTTGAAGCCGTTAAAGTGATTTATTTTAATGTGTACTAATACTCTAAACTACAGACAGACCTTGTTGGTTCATAAGTAGAAAATTATCAACATGTCGTGGCTTCGATTTCTACCGGGTCCAACATTATTTATCTATACTAATTTTTTATAGGTAAATATTTCTTTTGAACGCGCTGATCTCAGGGCCTATTAATTCGAATAAAAAAACTTTCTTTTTGTGTTGGTTGGAACATTTATCAAGGAAGACTATAGGCTATAAAACATTAGGCTGTGATCAGTAGGAGCAAAAAACAGAGGAAAAACGAGAAAAACGGGTCAATTTTACCTTTGAGGGCTTCCGTTACTTGCGCTGCGAAAACGGTTAAACTGCCTACTTATACATAAATAGGTTATCTGCCATAGTTTTGTAACAACATCATTGTAATTAAAAATATATTTAATTGAAATAATTGACCACGTATACGTACCATATGACCACGACACGCGCGGAGCTCGAACCGCCATCTACCGCGTGTCATGGTTTAACCAATAGAGCTACACGTGATCGTAGAAATTTCTCAACCTACGGATAGTTGCCCTGTCCCGCCTATGTCGTATTTTTTAAATATTTTATTCTTCATCTTCTTATCATGTCGTATTTATCTTAATAGATTTTTAATTTGTACATGTGCCACGTGTATTTCGTAACTGTAATTATTAAACGAATATAACAAGGGCATATTAAATGGTATTAAGTAATAAAAAATTAAAGTAAAAGACTTTAATTTGAGTAATTACAAGCGGTTGAAGTAATCTAGTTACACGTACTTGCCTTGACACAGATCGTCCATCCTATCGGAATCTGGTGAGCCAATCGGATATTATCTAAAATTAATTATTGCACATCTAAGTGTTGACAAGCTCAGTGCTAAACGCGCCTTATATTATAGGTTCGATGGGCAAAATAATATGGCGATAATATAATGGACATCTTTTATTGCACCTTTAAGACTTGGTGTTGTATTAGACTACGATTTCTGAAGCTCTAAAGAGGACATTCTAAACAAGTACATTTATTTATACATTTTGCATTTGAAACCGTTTAAAGTGTTTTATAAACATTACAACAATAAGGTATGTGATGTAAAATCATTAGTCTTATATATAAGGTTGAAGAGTTTGTTTGAAGGCGCTAATCTCAGGAACTTCTGGTTCGAATTGAAAATAACTATTCTACGTGGACGAAGTCGCTGACACATCTAGTGTTACATATTGCTCGTACGTGTTTCTCGTAAATACGATTTTATTTCAAATCCAGTAATCCGTAATAACTTTGTAAAGTCAAATAACAGATATAATAATTGAAGATCATGACATTAACATCACTTCGTGTCATGTCTACATAGAGTAGTTTCATATAGAAACAAAACTTTTACACATCATACAAATTATATATTAGATTGAATAACATTGTACTATATATGTATGAATTGTTAGTTAGGTAGCATTTTAGCTATATTTAGTATATTCGGTCACACTATATATTGGTCTCCATAATTAATGGTATTTACTACTATATGGCTACTGACACATTGGAGAAATCTTAACAAAACTTATATGCATGTTCTAGTTAAAGCAGTGAAAAGGACAAACTTTTACTATTTATTAATTATCTTAAATAACAAAGGTCTAAACTAAGTTAAAAATAACAAAACAAAAATGAAATTTTCAAAGTCACATCATTCATCATATACGACTATAAATGAGACTTCTATTTGCTTTTCTGTCTTCACTATAGTTGCGTAATTTTATAATTTGCCAGGACATAATTAAGTAAGATTAAAAAAACTTATTTGCTTTGTTTTCAGTTAATTAAGAAATACCCGCTTCGTCTTCGCTGTCTCTGTCGCTAGCTACTCTGCGCCAGAGGCAAACGACACATCTGCAGGCTCTATTGTGTCAGAGGTCAATGGCAGGGTCGTGTTTGATCTCAATCATTCGATG